CAATTTAGGTATTAGCAGCTCCAGACAATAATAAAAACAGATAGAATTTGAGGCGATTCTTGGAAGAAAAATTCATAGTATTTCTAAGGCAGCACCGACCGGAATGCTATAATTTTAGCATACATTTACATGTTTTAGGTCTAATGATAAATAGAAAGTGATTAAAATTTTAACTTCAATTTTCGTAAAATAGCTGAGATATGCCATCTTGCAGTACCCTAGAATGAAATACCCGACAGGTTATCGATTACCTGATAGTCTGGGTTCTCGCCTCTAGATGGCGCTACATACAAACGTCATCTGTCAAACGTTATGTGTATCATTGATAAGTGTGAGTTGTGTCTCTAAGCGCTAGATGGTGTCGATGTCGCACTGGTGTCGTAGAGTGACCCACATACAGGGGTCGATAGAAATTTTTGGGGGCCCTACCGACGGGCCGATGTACCGACGGGTCGATGAACCGACGGTATATCGTCAGATCGAAATAAGCTCCATTCACATGGGAGGTGTGTGTGGAACTGCTCGTGGGAGACACGGCACCTTGTCGTATATACCAAGACGTGTCCTAAAATGGTGCTACCCATTGGTCGCTCCGCCATACAGGTCGGTCAGACAGAAGTTTTTGGGACCGGGGTGCTCTGATTGGTGGATCAGACGGCGGGAAATTTGAACGGTGTTGATGGTATAGTTGAATGGTGGACGGCGGAGTCGGGTGCGTTGGTAATCACCTATGTCGCAAATGAGGTTAGATAGATAGTCGTTCAGCGAAGGTGTTGTCGTAGCAGTAGCAAGAAGTACTGCGCGCGGGGGTGTCAACGAGTTAATACTGGCCAACGATAACAGCGGTGACCCTGGAACACTGTTGTCACACGGTTGCAATAGATGATAGGTTATCTCTTAATCTTCGTAAACAACGATTTTTCTAAAGTGGTAAAAACAGGTCGAAATTTTAAATACCTATGAATCACCGCAAATTATTTGTCAGTTATCTGCTGCGAACAAAACATGCTCAGCTCAGACTTATCTAAAAAGTGGTGGGAAAATCGATATTATAAAAATATTTATGAATCACCGCAAATTCTCTTAGACGTGCTCTTATCAGTTCAGACTCAGTTAAAAGTGGTGGGTAAAATCGAGATTATAAATACCTATGAGTCACCGCAAATTACCTTGTCAGTTATCTGCAGCGAACAGACGTGCTCAGTTCAGACTTAGCAATTCCCAACGCTCCTCCGTGGCCATTCCCCTTACCCTCTCGCGAGTGCGCGCATGCGCATGCGGCTCGTTCTGGTCTATAGACATAGGATCGCTAATGATCTTGAAGAAAGATGTCCTGATACCCGAACAGCCAGAGGTACATCAGAAGTAATGTTAGTATTGTGTGTGCGTGTTTTTTGAACACGCTAATTCGTGATGTACATCACGTGACGTACGTCACGTGACCTACGTGACGTACGTGTGACAGGTGACGTGCGTCACGTGACACGTGATGCACGTGGCACGTGACGTGCGTCACGTGACACTTGACGCACGTGGCGTACGTCACGTGACACGTGACGTGCACACTTTGTTCAAAAATACCAAAAAGATGTCTTGATAGCCCGAACCGCCAGAGGTACAACATCAGAAGTAATGTTAGTGCGTGGTTGAGGTTCAAAACTTTGCGTGTTCAAAAAAAACGTACCTAGACCAAAAGTCATTCTAGACCAGTCACTCTAGACCAAAGTACAAAAAAAAACGCCGTTTTTCAACGCCTTTTTTGTCACCATCCCCCTTAGTAGCGCGCATGCGCATGGGGCTCGTTCTGCAGGTGCTGGTGCTGGCGCGGGCGTACTACGGGGGGTGTAGATAGCGTTTGTGGTAAGGGTTGGGGGTAGGTAAATGCGCGCACGAGTAAGTTTGTTTGTTGTGTACCTTGGGATAGTGGTAAGAGAACAAGACCTACCCCCAACCCTTACCACAAACGCTATCTACACCCCCCGTAGTACGCCCGCGCCAGCACCAGCACCTGCAGAACGAGCCCCATGCGCATGCGCGCTACTAAGGGGGATGGTGACAAAAAAGGCGTTGAAAAACGGCGTTTTTTTTGTACTTTGGTCTAGAGTGACTGGTCTAGAATGACTTTTGGTCTAGGTACGTTTTTTTTGAACACGCAAAGTTTTGAACCTCAACCACGCACTAACATTACTTCTGATGTTGTACCTCTGGCGGTTCGGGCTATCAAGACATCTTTTTGGTATTTTTGAACAAAGTGTGCACGTCACGTGTCACGTGACGTACGCCACGTGCGTCAAGTGTCACGTGACGCACGTCACGTGCCACGTGCATCACGTGTCACGTGACGCACGTCACCTGTCACACGTACGTCACGTAGGTCACGTGACGTACGTCACGTGATGTACATCACGAATTAGCGTGTTCAAAAAACACGCACACACAATACTAACATTACTTCTGATGTACCTCTGGCTGTTCGGGTATCAGGACATCTTTCTTCAAGATCATTAGCGATCCTATGTCTATAGACCAGAACGAGCCGCATGCGCATGCGCGCACTCGCGAGAGGGTAAGGGGAATGGCCACGGAGGAGCGTTGGGAATTGCTAAGTCTGAACTGAGCACGTCTGTTCGCTGCAGATAACTGACAAGGTAATTTGCGGTGACTCATAGGTATTTATAATCTCGATTTTACCCACCACTTTTAACTGAGTCTGAACTGATAAGAGCACGTCTAAGAGAATTTGCGGTGATTCATAAATATTTTTATAATATCGATTTTCCACCACTTTTTAGATAAGTCTGAGCTGAGCATGTTTTGTTCGCAGCAGATAACTGACAAAATAATTTGCGGTGATTCATAGGTATTTAAAATTTCGACCTGTTTTTACCACTTTAGAAAAATCGTTGTTTACGAAGATTAAGAGATAACCTATCATCTATTGCAACCGTGTGACAACAGTGTTCCAGGGTCACCGCTGTTATCGTTGGCCAGTATTAACTCGTTGACACCCCCGCGCGCAGTACTTCTTGCTACTGCTACGACAACACCTTCGCTGAACGACTATCTATCTAACCTCATTTGCGACATAGGTGATTACCAACGCACCCGACTCCGCCGTCCACCATTCAACTATACCATCAACACCGTTCAAATTTCCCGCCGTCTGATCCACCAATCAGAGCACCCCGGTCCCAAAAACTTCTGTCTGACCGACCTGTATGGCGGAGCGACCAATGGGTAGCACCATTTTAGGACACGTCTTGGTATATACGACAAGGTGCCGTGTCTCCCACGAGCAGTTCCACACACACCTCCCATGTGAATGGAGCTTATTTCGATCTGACGATATACCGTCGGTTCATCGACCCGTCGGTACATCGGCCCGTCGGTAGGGCCCCCAAAAATTTCTATCGACCCCTGTATGTGGGTCACTCTACGACACCAGTGCGACATCGACACCATCTAGCGCTTAGAGACACAACTCACACTTATCAATGATACACATAACGTTTGACAGATGACGTTTGTATGTAGCGCCATCTAGAGGCGAGAACCCAGACTATCAGGTAATCGATAACCTGTCGGGTATTTCATTCTAGGGTACTGCAAGATGGCATATCTCAGCTATTTTACGAAAATTGAAGTTAAAATTTTAATCACTTTCTATTTATCATTAGACCTAAAACATGTAAATGTATGCTAAAATTATAGCATTCCGGTCGGTGCTGCCTTAGAAATACTATGAATTTTTCTTCCAAGAATCGCCCTCAAATTCTATCTGTTTTTATTATTGTCTTGCGTAAGACTTGCTATACATACCTAAATTGGGTTACAGAAACATTTCTGCTTCATCCCACATTCCCAGTTTATCGTAGTATTTAACTATTTTAAAAAAAGTAAATGTCATAGATATTAATACTAATATAAACGTCACACTTTTCAACAGTTCATCTTCAAACGAGGAAATTTGTGGTTTAGTATTCACGAAGGAAAGATCAACTGCCAAAAATATTGCACCATGTACTGAAAGATTTGAGTGAACATGTACCAGAGTTCAGACATATAAAGCCGGATTTCGTTGTGGGATATAACGGAAACTCTTTTAATAGCACCGTAGAATCACTTCCGATTAATAAGAAGAACAGATAAGTACTTGATCGTTTTTAGAAACAAGGAGATTAACATTTTAGTGGCGCCAAATGTAAGAGAAGAAGGTGTAGATATACCAACTTGTACTATGGCTGTCAGGTAATTTTATTCACTAGTTTCTCATTGATTCGCTTGAATAAATCAAGATATGCTAGAGGAAAGCTCGTCACCGATAAATTGCATATAATCACTAGCTCAAGTGTTCTAGCAAGATCTTTGCAAATCAATTAAAATTAAGTTTGAGTCGCTGTCCGTAGGCTCTAGCCTAGG